TTAGGTCTGAAAATTAATATATATATATATCGAAATTAAAAATAAAATTATTAAATAAAAAAATGTATATAATATATTCTTAAATCTATATGATTAATTCTATAATTATTGAAAAAATTATTCTTACTAAAAATACAAGTATTAATGATTTAATAATCAATTGAAATAACAAAATTAAACTTTATTGAATTCATTAATCGTTCAAGAATAATTAATTTATTTATAAGTATAAAATATAAACTTGATATTATTATTATTAAACTATTTAAATAAATAAAATATAATTTTAAAAATATAAAATTTATTGGAATTCAGTGTATCAATAAAATATAATATTCAATTAATGAACCATTATTAATTTTAAATTTAATATAAATTTTTCCATGATTAATAAATAAATAAATAAATAAATTGAATAATCTATCGATGTAAAAATTTCATTTCTCATAACGATTACGATTTGTAATTTATAAATGGATTATAATACTACAATATTTTTACGATTTTGAATATTCGAATTATTCTGCTGTAAGATACTGAAAAAACTGAACCCTCGAAATCGAGGGGGAAATTTCACGGTCGGGCAGGATGAGCCTGCTTCCGTTCTTGTTTACCACCTTCGCTGCCGAGCGTTTATCATTTTTACGGGGAGGGGGAAAAAAAAAAAAAAAAAAAAAGGAAACGAAAATGGCGGCGATGCCAAACGTACTGCCATCCGGGTAACGGACCGGAAATCGCACCGACCGTTGCTTTTTAATCGTCCGTCTCTAATCACTTTGGAATTTTTCTTCCTTTTTTTCTTCCTAACGAACCGTGCGCGCGTAATTTACCTTTCATTCACATACCTCTCTTCCATACCTTTAAAAAAATAATAAAACGTTTCCTCCTCAATGTTGCATCGCGGCCGTGACATTGTAGATAGATCCACGGGTTGGAATAGAAAAATCCTCGGTCGTAAAAATCCTCCTCGGCCAAGACTGTTATGTATATATATGAATTTGTGAAAGGGGGGGGAATAACAAAGTTGCCGAGGACTGAGACAAGTTCGCGAGAACGTCGCGAAATTAGGTAAGCAATAAATAAAAGAGGGGGGGGGGATACGATATTCTTGAAGGAGACGGAGTAAATGGTGGATGGTCTCCATTTATTTCGCCGCTATTTATCCTTTGCCCGGAGGACATGCATCATTTTTATGCGAGGAAAACGCGAAGCCAGAAAAAGAGAGAGAAGGAAAGTAAAGCTTGCGGTGGAAAACGTAAATGGGGCAAAACGTTAATAAAAAAAGGAAAAGAGAGAGGGAGAGAAAAAATAGAAAGGTAGCCGTTTTCCCTGTACGTAATTACGCGCGGGTAAAAAAAACTTGGAGAAAAACTTGAGAAACGGTTCGCCGCGTTTCATCGAAAAGACAAAGTTTTCGATGAAAAGTTTTTACACGCAGCTTCTTAACTCTCGATGTGTATCGATGATGAACTCCGTTATCCTTGACAAGGTTATTACCACCAAGGTTGATTGGCCAGGAAGGTCGAAAAACTTAATTAACGAAGAAAAAGGTTGTTGGACCTCCGTATATTATTATGCTATTTACCCTTCGCCCAGGGGGCATGTATCATTTTTACGAGACGAGGGACGAACAGAAGGGTTGCCGAGTAAGAGAAGGAGAGAAGGGAATGGAAGATCGCTCGAATCGGAGCGAGAACGAGGAGCGAAATATTGGAAAGCGGAGGAGGAGATAAAACGTTTCATAAAACAAGACATCGAATCCGTATTACTCCACTGGCGCGTCGACGTGAATCGAAACAGGCCGTGGAATCAGCGGAGTGGTTGAAAAGTCGCTACTCAGAAAGATACGGCTCTTCCTTGCCGCATCTAACGCGCCTTCCCTTGGCCGACATTCCAAGTGTCCCTCGACGCTTTTTATTTTTACCATTTCTCTTTTCTTCTTTCTTCTTTCCTCTATGTAGCACGCGTATCCTCTTCCTCCTTCTCGTGCTCGATCTTACATTCGAGGGAAAATTCGAGTGCAAAATCTTTCGAAGAGTTGGCGAATTCGTATCGATTCTCGAAATAATATTCAACGACTTGAATATCACGCAAAAGAAATTCATTTTTCGGGTTAAATCGATGTATCGTCGCAATGATGACAAAGGGCGAAAATTTTATAATACGTTTCGAGAGTTTCTTCCTTTTTCTCTTTTTGGAAAGAGTGGGCTCCCAGCGTTCGCCGATTCATCGACGAACACGGTGGTTCGAACGATGGTTTGGAAACGTTTCGTAAAAAGAGAAGGAAAAAACCCGTCTTTCCCCGGGCTGAAACTTTATCTTCGCGATTCTTGGCGTTTCTTCGAGGAAAAATTGTTTCCGGAGAAGAGTTTGAAAATCTTTAAAAATATGCGCGAATCGATTCTCTTCTTTCGCTTCTCTATTTTTCATCATCATCCGTTGGAAAGTTTTTCCCTTTCTCGCGAGAGGGAAAACCGTGGGATTTTTTCGTAATTTTTATGGGATCGGTGCGCAAATGCGAAGAATCGCGAAACCCCCTAATTACGGTACATGGAACCTGCGCTAATGCTACATAATTATGGCTCGTTAAACCTTCGTTTCATAAACGGTATTTCGCTTGATATTTTCCTCCTTTCTTCTCCTTTTTTTTTCGCTTCCATCTCTTTTTACCGTCCGTTATAACGCGGATGTTTTCAACGGCAATATTCGTTAATGAATATCGCAGAGCGAAATGTATCGGTGTAGCGTAACTGTTTAAAATTTTCGTTTCGTTTTCAAGACGATATAACGGCGTGAATCGACCAACGAATCCATCCGAATCCGGAACGCCAAGTTTACGAGACGTTTATGCGTGAAATATTATTAAAAAAAAAAAAAAGAAAAAAAATAGGATCGAGCATTTATCGAGACAGAAACGTTTTATCGCTCGATTTTAATCGTTATTTTATTATAATACCTTTTATTAAATTTGCAGCGAGAAACGATTAATAATTTATATTATTTATTTTTTAAAAAAAAAAAAAA